CTTGTTCGTCTAACTATAACAGTGACCTAGTCTAAAAGGCCTCGCAAAGAAAATATATGTGGGTTATTGTCACATATTGTGCAATGACAGCTTAAAGCAATTAACACTTCATTTACCAAACACACAAATATAAGAACCTGGCAGTAAATGCAGATTAAACAGTTGCATGTGTAACAATAGACTTTTAGTGCTTCATCATGTTCTGGACAAAGGTATTTGTTCTTCTCTTTCTCTTGCTGAATGGATTCTGTTTGACCTTCTTCTTTACTCTCAAGAATCTCAAGAACTCCAAAGTTTTTAGGCAGATTTCTGACACTCTCAAATGTCCGTGGAAATAGAGGTGTTTCTGTTTTGCACGTGGGACAGCAGATTGTACCAGGGTTACGTGCTTGAAATGCTAGCTTGTTCAGACATGCTAAATAAGGACGTAAAATCAAAATTTTTAAAGGGTTTCACGACAGACATTTGTAAACCCTAATCAAAGCACTTTTCAGACATCTTTGGGGGTTAGATACATGCAAGATACTTATACTTACAAGAAGAAATATTATTCCAATGATTTGGTCAGGTAGTATAGGATAAATTGACACTTTTCAGCATGGATAAAGCAAAAGATAGAATCTCCAGATTTAGATCTCCAGAGGTTAGCATATTTGGGATCTAATCAAAAGATTTATTCGTTTAGATACAGAATACCACAGGGACTACATGTAGTTGCAACCCAACCTGCAGAGGCTACTCTTTCACAAAATGTACATGCACAATGAGGAAAAGGAACTACGCATTACAGTCCAAAATCCAGGCAAATAAAACAAAAATATGTACATGTAGATTAAAAATTGTCAAAAGAAGTTGATGCCTACTGGACCTCAAAAATCACGTGATTAAACTTTTGCACATACAACAGAATATTGGGCTGTTGTCAACATAGATTACTTACACACACCAATAGCAGCCTCTGCCTGCGAGGAAGGTCTCTGGGGCACTCTGGGGGTGGGGCAGGAAAAAGAAGGAGCGCTTGCAAACATGGGTGCTTACCATTTGATGGAAAATTTCGGAAATTTGGGATGGAAGGTAAATGGTAAGGTCACTTTTTGGAAATTCCAAGCGAAAATTGAGGAGTATGTTTTGAGGTAGTCCTTTCATTCCGGTTGGTACGAACCAAACGGAATGTCGCTTACCATTAACTAATTTCTCAGTTCCTTCTCGGTTCCAGAATAAAGCGACACAAATTCGCCCTTTTTTCGGATTCAAACCGTAACGGATGTGGCATTTCTACAGTAAACTGGCAAATCGCTTACCATTATGCTTTCGACAACCCAACCGGATTTTTCTGTCAAATGGTAAGCACCCCATGTCTCTGGAACTTGAATTTCACCACCAATTCCCATGTGGTACCCCATCTACTGAGCTGTCAGATTTCCGCCAATCGGAACGAAGCAGAAACGAGCGTGAATGTAAACAAACATTGAAACACATGGAAAGATGGAACTGACATCATTACTAATGTCATCTCCATGAATCAGCATTTCACATCGACTTTTTCAATGCAGATATTCAAATTCCAGAGACGTAGTTGCAGGCTCTCCTTCCTTTTCCTGCCCCACCACCAGAGCACCCCATTGGAGAGCTTGCTCGCAGGCTAGGGAGTTCTTCACCCCACCAGGGCCCAGTTGTTCGAAGGCTGATTAGTGCTAACACAGGGTTAAATTTTAATCCAGATTTCTTTTTCCTTTCTTCAAAAGCACTTTCTCATATCATTTTCTTTATTCTTTTTAGAGCATGCAAATGTCAAAATATGGACAAGAGGAATTAAACTGAACTTGCTTTTTAAGCTTTCATATATGAAATCGAAGTTTGCACTATTAAACAATGGATTATCCTAACCCAGCTTTAAACAACCTGGCGCAGGGGCCCGTTTCTCCAAAGTCCCGATAACTTTTCAGGCCCGAAATCAAATATTCAAATTGAAATAAAAAGAATAAGAGAGCAGGTCCTGGCTAGCAAAATACTCCATTATTTTTGTTTCATTAACTGATGGTTTTATCAAGTTAGATGCAAAACTATTGAAACTTCTATCTTGCATGTAAACAACAACAGCTTTAAGGGGCCTGTTAATTATCGGGNTAATTTCTCAGTTCCTTCTCGGTTCCAGAATAAAGCGACACAAATTCGCCCTTTTTTCGGATTCAAACCGTAACGGATGTGGCATTTCTACAGTAAACTGGCAAATCGCTTACCATTATGCTTTCGACAACCCAACCGGATTTTTCTGTCAAATGGTAAGCACCCCATGTCTCTGGAACTTGAATTTCACCACCAATTCCCATGTGGTACCCCATCTACTGAGCTGTCAGATTTCCGCCAATCGGAACGAAGCAGAAACGAGCGTGAATGTAAACAAACATTGAAACACATGGAAAGATGGAACTGACATCATTACTAATGTCATCTCCATGAATCAGCATTTCACATCGACTTTTTCAATGCAGGTATTCAAATTCCAGAGACGTAGTTGCAGGCTCTCCTTCCTTTTCCTGCCCCACCACCAGAGCGCCCCATCAGAGAGCTTGCTCGCAGGCTAGGGAGTTCTTCACCCCACCAGGGCCCAGTTGTTCGAAGGCTGATTAGTGCTAACACAGGGTTAAATTTTAATCCAGATTTCTTTTTCCTTTCTTCAAAAGCACTTTCTCATATCATTTTCTTTATTCTTTTTAGAGCATGCAAATGTCAAAATATGGACAAGAGGAATTAAACTGAACTTGCTTTTTAAGCTTTCATATATGAAATCGAAGTTTGCACTATTAAACAATGGATTATCCTAACCCAGCTTTAAACAACCTGGCGCAGGGGCCCGTTTCTCCAAAGTCCCGATAACTTTTCAGGCCCGAAATCAAATATTCAAATTGAAATAAAAAGAATAAGAGAGCAGGTCCTGGCTAGCAAAATACTCCATTATTTTTGTTTCATTAACTGATGGTTTTATCAAGTTAGATGCAAAACTATTGAAACTTCTATCTTGCATGTAAACAACAACAGCTTTAAGGGGCCTGTTAATTATCGGGACTTTTGAGAAACAGGCCCAGGGCATAATGCACTAGTCAATTGCATCCCTGACGCCCAAACCCCCGGGGATAGTGGGGATTTTACATTCCTTTCTTGCACTAGCCCCTGGGAAATTACCAAAAATTTACAGCTACACACCTTTCCTGCGGATGGGGAGTGGTGGGGAGTCAGTTGGCCACTATCAATGATGTCAAGCCTTCATGAAGGCTTTGACCCGGCTAACTGTTGATGCAAACTAGCAGAGAGCCACTCACCTCATGCAAAATTAACAATTTGGATGGGATAAATTTGCTTTATTGAAACTATTCTAAGTTTTAGCATAATTATGGCTAAAATTGGCAAAAAGACATGGATCATGGAGATCCGTCCTGCTGTGACTGACCCGTACTGAGCTCCTCAATAGTTTGCCCCATGATCCATTGCTGACTGCTGCCCAACCTTCTCTGGGCTATGCTATTTATGATATGGCTGTTTCGGTCCTAGCATTACTAACTGATGCAACAAATTTAAACGAAATGGAAACGCACAGACCCGTGAACACAATTTTTCTCTATTGTTGTTACGTGTTTGTCCAAAAAGGCATATGAACCTGGCAAAATTAACAAATTTGGCTTTGAACATTTGATACATGAGCATAAAAATAACTTTTTGAACCTATGCTTTGTAGAACATTATATGAATCTCTGTCATGAGTTGATGAACTCATTTTGATCAGTATCTGAAAGTTTTTAAAATGTGTCAGTTCATATATTTTTTTTGTTGTTTTTGTACAGAGGAGGGATATGATGCATGAAACAAATTCAACTTGCACCAGATGTATCATGGAAAGAGAGGAAGGTAAATATACAGCATGAGGATTGACTCAGCTGAGCGTTTCGCATATTCATTCAAGTTCAGCAATACCCAATTTTGCACAATTAGCTTGCCTATAATAACATTTAGGATGAAAAAGGTAGATTCATTATTCTTGGTACGGTTACACTGAAGAATTCAAAATAGCTCATGCACGTTAAACATGCCTATGTTTAAACTGAATAGCAGTTTGTTGACAGACAGCTTATTAGGGAAGGGTAATTACCATGTGAATCTGTCACTAGGGCCTGGGGTAAATCCTTTGAGTTACGAGGATACTGGTGTAAATTTCCCCTCTATTACCCGGGGGTTTGGGGATCGTGGTTGCAATTGACTAGTGCATAATCCTCCAGGTAAATTAACCGACGGCTATTTCTACTTCCCGGTTTTCTAAAACAATGCTCACACCATTTGAACAGTGGCAAATGATTATTCATTTTGCAGCACAAAAGGAAATTGGAGTTGATCGCCTTTCGAAGGCGCGACGATAGACATTTCATAACGGTATCAAATTTCAACACACGACAGTCACAGTGTTATACAGCACGACTCCCGCTTGATTTCACAAAATTGACTGTATTTTTATGCAAAACTGGAAATTCCCTTCTTGATATAGTGAGCAGAAATGAAACAGGAAGTATAAAAGACAGGATGAACTATGGAGAGTATTTACCTGTGCAGTATGTGTGGCCACAAATGAGATTTCTCGGAATAAACTGAACCTCGTCAGACTTGAAGTTGTTGTAGCAGACAGAACAACTTAATCCTCGAAGATCGGCCATCAAAAAAATTGACTAAGGTAGGGACGATACGATGTCAAGCGACGCAAAAACTGTTAATTTTGAATGAATGTTGTTGCTGCCACATTTGTGATGTAAAATTCTAAATTTTTAGCGAGAAGAGAGTGATGTAAATACCGTTTACATTGCATTTTCTCGGAAACATTACCTCCGTCACACTCCGCTGAGTTTTTGTTTTTCAAATGCCTGCGCATTTACGGCAAATGGTCAGCGTTCTAAAAAATTCATACATGAAGTACCCACCAAAAACCAAGATGGCGGATTAATATGGCAGCGAATGTTAGTGTGTTCGCAGTGGTTGCAGATCAGAAGAGAAATGGCATCAGTTGATGAGGACAACATTGAAAATCAAGCCAGGGGTGAGCCTTGTGGTGGACTGAGAAAAGAGCTGAAGGAATGTCTCTTAGCAAGTGACTGTGTGAAATTGGTATGTTGAGAAAAATAAGAGGGCTTACAAACTTAGAACTAAGCTTGTTACATATTGAAGATGCAGCTGTTTATTGATGTGCACAGCCGACATGAACTGATACATAATTATGAAACTATAAATACTCATGCTAAAACAAAACTAACTAATACTATCCCTAAAACATGTGTGAGAAATGTTTTTAAACAAGAACGTCCTTACAGCGGCGTCCAGTCTCGCTTGCTTGGAGATTAGATCGAGAAATGAGGAGGCGATTAATTCTACACGAAACAGGATTTAATGTTTTACCTCCAACTTTATAGTCGTCAATACTTTTTATTTGTTTCTGAATTGATTAAGTGCGCATGTTAGCGACGACCTGAAATACGTCTGTGGTCGCAGGCTGTACGTGGGTATAAATACATGAAAATTCAAGGGCCTTGAGTCCAAATAAATTACATCATTGCCAAAGATCAAAGGAGTGATTTATATGGCACGTCATTTCAATCATTGCCGAAACGGTCAGTGTAAAACGCAGACTGCGGACTGCAGACTGCAGACTGCGGACCAGGGGTAAAATGCAGACTGAGTGTAAAATGCAGACTGCAGACTAAGAGTAAAACGCAGACCGGGGTAAAATGCAGACTGAGCATAAACTGTAGTCGCGGAAGGGTTTAAGGGCAAAAAAATCCCGCAAATACATGTAAACGAACACTTACTTGACGACATCTGCTTTCACAAATCCATTCAGGACTTTCTTCTCTAGAACGTTGTCGACGACCCAAAAACATATAATCGCAATCTTGAACCTTTTTTCCGTCCGAGAGACCTCACGCTTCAAGTTTAGACGCGAAGTTTTCGATATACGTGACCAGGGACCGGGAATTGTTACAACACCACGATGTTTACGCTTAAATGGAAGCTGCTGACCCAAAATACTGTACTGGAAGAATTATGCTGATAAAAAGGGAGTAAATCATTCCAACAACAAAGAAAGATGTTCTGCAGGAAATTTGGATGACCTTCTATGAAAGTATTGCAAATCAAGGTACACAGACTTAACCTGTTCGGATTTTCATTGAAACTTCTGGCGAATGTGCAATCCACTTCAACTGGGAAGCGAAGTGTGTAACTGATACCGGCTAGCTATTTCACTGATTTGGAGAAGAAGGAGCAAAAATGTTTAAAAAAGTCTACAGTCTTTATTCTGCATTTTACCCCAGTCTGCATTTTACTCTCAGTCTGCAGTCTGCATTTTACACTCAGTCTGCATTTTACCCCTGGTCCGCAGTCTGCAGTCTGCAGTCCGCAGTCTGCGTTTTACACTGACCGATTGCCGAAAATAAACAGCATGCTCATCACAAGACTCATTTGCATACAGTGAAAGTTTACAACACCTGATCATCGCAGTTTTGCTAATTAAGATTCTTATTTTTTTTCGACCACTCAGTAGTGTTCACTTTTTGTCAAAAGAGATTATGTCAAAAATGCCTTGCTTACTGTTGTACAGAAATCACTATTTTTGTCTCTACTTATTACATAGAATGATGTGTTCAGGGTTGATGAGGAGCCCTGGGGGTGGATGGGGGAAATAGACCATCATGTTGAAAATATTGGAATCTCAGAGGTATACGTGCGGACAGGGTTACTGGTAGAATCAGCCGTGCATGATCCTGCTGTGAATATTTTCAGCTGAGAAAGAATTTTAAATTCTCGGAAGCAGATATTTTCTTACTGCAGTTAGACCAAATTTATATTTTCCTCATCTTTAGTGATTACTGATAGATATGCAAATTATCTGTATCACAGGAATGCTGTTCAGCAGCATTAGTAGATCAAGGGATTTCTCATTTAACAGTTACTAGTTTTCCAGATGGTTATTATTTACAGCTGTTTCGGATAGCACACGACCTGTGATGACAAAAATGTCTTTGGATTCTGGGTTTTTCTGCGACATCAATCAAAATCTGAAGAATCGGTGCTTTCTCGCCTTCACATCTTAGCGGACCTCTAATTTAGGAAACAAAAGGTGATGGTTTGTGATTTGTGATTGTTTGATTTCGATCCGTTTTGTGTGTTTCTAGGTTCGTTGTGTTTGGTGTTGTGTTTTTGAAAAGCACAGTAAGTTTTACCTTAACTCTAATTTTTTTATCCTCTTTATACTGAAACATGGCAAGTTTAAATTGTTCCTATAGAGCTTTCAAATCCAGAAGAAACACAGATATGGGAGGGCGAAAATGAATCGGTACGTTCCTGCCAACATTTACTTTTGCAGCTTCTGCTCATTTATATTGCCGCCTTTATTTGATGAACACAGTGGATGCTATGGTAACAGATCTTTGATTGACTTCGTAGAAAAACCCAAAATCCTAAAATGTTTTTGACAAATACAGGTTGCCCGTTATTCGAAAATCTGTAAAGTGATGACAATTTTATTGTTGTTGGTAACTTACAAGTAACTTACTCTGAAGACCAGGTATCAAACTAATTCTAAGATGGTCAAAGGCTTAAGTTTTCATAGTAGTCTCACACTAGTCAGGCGGAATTAGTATAATCATAGCATTAGAGAATAACAAGAACTATTATCTTCTAAGAGAATAAAAGGAACTATTAAGCAGTAATTAGAAGTTTTTGAGTCATTTTTTGTTAATCAATAGCACTTGACATTTCATTCTTTGATGTTTCTTAAATGCACTGTTAATACAGCATGGGCTGAAACCGAGTAGTTGTTTAGATGCAAATGCGGCAGGTGTTGATGAAGAATGTAGAAAAGTCCAGTACGCCTTTTTTGAATGCAAAAGATCACTGGTAAGTTACACCTCTCATACAATATCATAGTTTAGTTTATCAGTGTTTAATAGAAATTTTTTCTGACAAGATAAGAAGGGGACACTCAATTTTTGTTTTAACCCTTGCTTTAATGATATCCAAATACAAATTATCAAGGCTAATCTCCATACACTTCCTTAAAAAATTAGTTGAGAGAATTTGCTGAAAAATCAAAGCATTTTCCTCTAGGTATCATTCTGTTTCTTCTCATAACCTGCTCTATTGACTATGTACTGAAATTTTTCGGAGAAAATTGATGTTGATTCACTCCTAAGACCCTCAAAATAAAGAAAGAGTGTAAGTTTCTCAAAGGAGCTACATGTGAACTAAAATTTGGAGGACTCGATCTTACTTTATTTAACTTATCTTAATTTATTGAACTTTAGAATTGATCTTCTTTATTAGTCCAATAAGATGGAATCTCTTGTCATGTAAGGCATCATCCTAGTGAATTCGGATCTTTTTGAAACCCCATATTTATTTTCCAGAATCGGCATCTGTCTGCATGAAACCTGTGAATCTGCTCATCAAAACCGCATCTTTTCTGTCTTTTTGAAACCGCTCTCCAGAGTCATTAAAGACCCTGTTCATAGGTATGCGGGTTAAAGAAAAAAGGTTCAAAAAATGTCTGGATTCATGTGGGCGAGGCCTTATTCTCTTCTAAAAGGAGTGAGTTGGAAAGGTGTCCAAATACCAACCAAGACACATACAGGATTGGGACTATGACAGCCTTTATTACAACATATAAATAGGTAATCACTCAATATAGGTACAATGTTAAAATGAAACAGGTAATAAAACTACAATCATCATCAAAAGTGTTGGGAGGGTTGCCTTTTTCACCTGTTCTTTTCCTTCCTCTCCCCGCCACTGGCCCAATGTTGATCAAAACGTTAATGTTTGTGCGTGTAATTGTTGTGTTATATCACAAAGTTAATGTTTGTGCGCATAATTGTTCTGTTATATCCCAACATTGAATAGGGGGGACAGGGAATATTTAGCAAAAGAGGAAACTCTCTTTTTTCAGGATTAAAATGGACTACTGTTAAGTTGTACAACCTTTCCAACTACTTTTGTCTGTGATTGTAGTTACACTCGTATGGAACAAACAAAGGTAGACATAATTTGTAAAAACAGAAGACTGTCAGACATAAAAGCTCCATAAAGGAAATGAGTAGACAACCAAAAACTACCCAGGGAGGGTAGGGTGGGAAAACTAGTAAATGCTGCTACTTATGACTGTTGCTACCCAAGTATCTTGCAAGTGAGTCTATAAGATACTGGGCCCTGAATTTACATGTATACAAGCGTGCTTGCACTTTTACAGTCATTGAGTATAAAAGCTGATCGTAAAAACACTGGATATTTCGTGAGTAAAATAACTTGATATGCCAGACGGAATAGGACTCAATCTATGTAAAACTTGTATGAAGGTAAAGGCTGTCTTAGTCCCAGTACCCCCATGCTTGATATTTAGAACATCATCACAAACCTGAAGCCAACCGAAAAGAGTTAGGTAGAAAGGGAAAAAGAAGGGGCATCGGGGATAGATGAAAAGACATGGATGGTTGGGCTTTATGCAAATTCACCGGTTCTTACAGCAGGCACTCCTTCTCCTACTCCCTTTCGCGTTTTTCTGCGTCCCATCTCTCTTTTGCTCCTAACCTGCGTAGCATGTGGGAGCAAGAAAGAACGTCGCCCGCCCGTTCTTTCTTGCGCCGACTACGGTGACTCCTTCCGTGTATCGCTCGCGCGTGACTTCTGGCGAGAAACCCTAATGGTGAGCCTCTCGCAGGATTAACTATCTGGTGGAGTAATCCATTTAATATTAAGACCTTTTTGTTCATTTTTGGCAGCTGGATTTTCGCACACGTTTCAGGGGAAGAAAAGGATACTAAGAAGAAAAAGTGTTACGTAGAAATTGATGTCATGTTTATCACCTGGGTGCGGAGAAAGGAAAATTTTCTAACTTGTACATGTATAATTATTTTTTAGTTGTAACCTAATTTGCAAAGGCTCCGTCTCGTCACTCTAAGGAGAATTAATGAAAAAAACGAGCAAGAAAGTTGGAACAATGTTAGTTATCTTGAGTGACAGAGGCCAATAGGTAAAGTTGAATAAATCTATTTTACGTGGAAATGTGTATTCGGCCGCATGTAGGCAGTTCTGTGCAGGATGGTTCTGTAGATGTGAATGGTTACTTGGCTTAGATTAACTTTAACGCGATCAAATTGGATAAAACACATCACGTACAGTTTTAGTCCACCAAATGGTACATGGAAAGAGGTTCGTTCGACTACTAACTATGGTTCGTCTGTTCGTTCGTCCAGTTTTGGCTTTCCGACTGAAACAAAATGCCAGAAATTCAGTTGCGAGCATTTAGCTAGGGCAACAACTTGCAATATTTACGAAAAATAAAAACGTGGAAGGATGTTTTCTTTTCTCATGTCTAACGCTAGGTGTCCTCTAGTTTACGAGACAGTTGACACATGTAACCAAGGGTAACGCAGTTTTGATCAAAACAGAGTGTTTTTTTACAGTGAAAAGAGTTTTTTAAAAGCGTATAGTGAGACTTCTTATTATGTTGGAAGGAAAACAAACCTTTTATCATTGTAATTGGGTCAAATCATGCCACTTTCCGACTAAATCGAGAAGCCATGCATTTTCCTTATTAAGTCAAATGAGCTTTCAGAGCTTCCTAAAAAGACCCCGTCGTACGCATTTTTACATTCGGCTAAGAGCGAAAATTTTTTAGTTAAAATTGGTCTTTTTTGTGATATATTAATATTTGTCTAATGGGTTGAGTGGATTTTGCTGGAAGGACTTCATATGAAAGCGCAGACCAACGAATTAAAAAGATAATTGTTTGTGAACAACAACAAAGGAGAGATCCTAATTTAAACAGACATCTCGACACCTACAGACAGCTATAAAGGACAAATTACCTATGCAGCCTCGTATACAAATTACAAATTAATCTTTGCTCGGGTATAACGCGCGTATTGAAGAGAATTTCAAATCAAAACCAACCAGCTACTAGAACGCGTTGCAAGTTACTCATGATTTGAACTTCGCAAACTGAGCTTTTAAAACTGGATTCGAAAACTCTTTGTGAAAGGATTGACAATTGAATTTATTTTAAAAGTCCATCATTACGCAATAAATTTTACCAATAACTCAATTTCTTCGTTCCCACACTTTCTAGTTTTTTGGTTTGTTTCTGTTTGGGAAATATTCTTTCCACTTGTTTTGGATCTTTAAGGACGACGTGAATGCAATAATTTATAACCGAGAGGTAATTTAAAGCTGCTCACAATTATTCCTCTTTTCACCAGCTCTCAATACATGACAGATGTTTGAGTAAGATCAATGTGTGTTGAAAATGCTAAATGCTGTTTTTCACATCCAGTATCGCGTCGTCACTTTAACAAAATCTTCCTCTGAATTTTTTAACCCAATATTCTCTAGATTTAGAGTGTGGCAAAATGAAACCCTCGTAATTTAGTGTTATATTGCGCTAATTTTGACGGATCTTAATAATGAAGATTTTGCTCAGCATGGATTGGTTCAAAATGGCAGGAGTTAAACAAAGGAATACCTAGCATGAAGAAAAACTAGCCACGGGCTTTGTCTTCCATTTTAATGACGGTTATTTTTTGCAACATCTGCCATTTCCAGGTAAAATGTTACTATGTGGGTACTTAAACCGGATTAAACAGCAGGGCTAGTACTTTATTCATTTCGTTTAGGAATTTATTCACAACTTTTTTTTGAACTTGAAAAAGCTAGTGAAAGCCCATTGACAGTTATCAGTGTTTTGTAAATTATCGTTTCAGAAAACGTAGGATACAAGGCCTTGGTAACATTTTATTTACCTATTGACAAGTAAAGGGACCTATTTTTTAATGTACATTAAGTTACCCCTGTTGTGCAGTTAAACTAAAGACATTTTTGGCGCTTTTTCCATCTTTCGTCTCCAAGATGTAACGAAATTTTGAATTTTAAAAAAACCAAATTAAAAGGTATAATTTACGGGAATTGTAGCGTAATTTACCTAAAGATAGCCGCCTATTTGCGAGAGAATTGCTGTTATTAAAAAATCGCTAAAATATCTGTCGCTTTATGATGGCCGGTCTAATCCCAGCGACGCGCAACGCTAGGAAATGATATTTCGGGGAACGCGTTTAACTGGTCAAAAGTGCTTGTTCATGAAGCCAATATAAGATTTTTACAATTGATAGCCTTTTAATAGTCGCGACTAGCGCCGAGAGGGGAGACTTATAGTAAACACGTCATTCAATGGTAAGAAGTAGCCATTATACAAAGGGAACTCACTCTCGTTCAGTTTTACATGCCTTTTCTTCATGTAGGATGCACGCATTTACCAAATACGCAGGAAAATAGAACCTTTAATGATATTTCAAAGGTAGAAATAATTTGAGACAAAAATTATTGTCAAACAATTTCCGCCGTATTTTAAATATATCTTAAATGTATCTTAATTATTTATATCGGTCGGCATGGTTAGCGATGTCTTTAAAAATTTCGTCAGCGAGAAGATTTTCAATTCCTTATGTTTTTTCGTCAATTTTATATTTCCGATAACTTTTTAGGTTCTTTGTCTAGGCAGACAGTGGCATAAGTATAATAGTGAGACCTTCCCGAAACCTGCTCTTGTAAACATTTTTGTCGTAGAAAACAAATGAACTTGATTTAAAAATGGAGATTTATGGTAATGTCTTTCGCGTTAACTCTTATTAGCTATTGAGGCAATTTCAATCCCAGTCGCTGTTGTTTTGACAGATAAATGAGATGTTTAAAGCTTTATTCGTGTTTAAAAACAATTGACAAGCAACCGTCCAATAGCGTTCGACTAATTTCCCGTATCTTGCAGTAAAGAACAAGAGAGCGAATAAAAGACACGTTTTTCTCTCTCCACCCACGGTACTGAAAAAACGCGCAGTTCGTTAAAAAGCTACTTTCGCACGTCCGAAACAGCTGTCGGGTCTATTAAGTCTAATATAAGCTTTAGTTTCCAGTCAGCGCACAAAGCCTTAGTTCTCGATTTAACAAGCGACTAGTGTTATTTCTTGGTCCGAGGTGCTACTTAAACAGTGCCACACGCCCCGCGGTTAAACTGACCTCGGCGAGCCACAAGCAAATGAGCAAAAGGCTAATGTTTACTTGGTCACCAAACACAAATAATTTAAAAGTTCAATTTTTTGTGGAGCCCTTGGTTTTCGCTTCCGTATTGACAAGTGAAGACACGACCAATATACAGCAAGATGAGCACTGTACTGGGAGAAACCTCGACGCCGAGTTCCTTACTTAACTTTGTGAGCATGGCCACTAGCAACCTTAAATTCGCCCTGGAGAAACCCGTTAAACCAAAAAGAAAAGTAAACCACAGAAAATATCTACAACGCCAACTGAAAGGACGTGGAGTATCTTATAAAATGTCATCCGAAAGTTCTTGGCATAGCCAAGAACAGTTACTTGATCACGTCTTCATCGCAGTTGAACAGGAAAACGATGTCGCGCTCACGGCGTCGAAGACTGCACCGAGTAAAAACCGTGCCGAAAACGTTGAAGGCCAAAAAAATAACGCACTTGGGGTTATTCAGAAAAAGCCCGAGCAAGGAAAAGAAAAGACTTTAGAAATTTCAAGGAATCAAGAAATCAACGAGCGAAAGAGTACCCAGTCATCGCTTTTCACTTCACCCCAGCCACCACTTCGAAAACGAAAGCTTCCCGACTCGTTTTGGAGCGAACCATCAAAAACACCGCGACAGCCGCATCAAAACACTCGTCACTCCTCAGCAAATTTTCCTGGAAGCGATCTTCAACGCACTGACTTTGAAATTTTGCACTGGCTTCGCCCTGAACTTGATGATTTTATAGAGCGCTGGTCGGAAGAAAGTGAGTGTGCTTCAAATAATTCTAGCCGTCCAGCTAGCCTATCTGATAACACATCAACCGCCGATCCGTATTCACCGTCTTCCGAAACATCCGATAATATCGTTATGGACGAATTTTTTGAGCAGCGTGTTCCATTTTCGTTCGATGCTTCTACTAGAAGTAATACTTCTATTTTAAACGTACAACAACCGAGAAATTGCATTTTTCACAATACAGACAGTACCATGAGCGGTAACTTATGGCAAGATTATGGCCTTAAACATACGACCAACGCATCAACTTACTTTAATGGATATTACAATTTTTCGGAGCCCACGTGGAACACCGTGCAAGCTCAAGGAAATTATTTTGGCGGTGGATATACTATTTTATCCTAAGTCAAATTAAGCGAACGAATGATCAACCAGAAACAGTAATGAATTTTTATAATAAATTCAACACGCCAATTTTGGAATTTGGCAAACTGTTGCAAAGGATTTTAATTTCGTTCGGAGAACAAGTGTCTTAGAATACGTCAAGACAGTGACTTAAAAAATCATAGACATTGCTGAAAGATTTGAACGTGAGTTTTGTTGTCAAATTGAACTTCTAACTTCATGGAAAGCACTTCAGACGTCAAGAAACTGACGTATTAAAACCTCTGTATTTACGCATTAGATGTAAAATAATTTTAACATACGGCAAAGGTGATACCTTAAATAATTTGTCGACTGATCTCGCGCTCATGTTCAGCACGAAAAACGAAAATTAACTTAGAAGGCAGATTAAGTTTGCCTTTCATATATAATTCTCCATAACCGAATTCACCCTATAACACGTACGTTTCATAACCAGATGTCGACGGAGAAAATTATCAAAAATAATCAGAATGTCGATTAGAATTTTATTTTTTAAAATTCTTTCTTTGACTGTACACTAGACTTATAGCGTTAACTGTATTTTAATATTTGGAGAATGTGTTGAACTAAAAAACGAATAACTTAATGTAACATGTAGCTTTTATTTGTCGACTGAATCATTTATTTTTCGGCGGCGGCAGTGCAGTAAAGAAAGACGTCTTAGTATAGTAAAAAATAGTAATAAAAAAAGAATTCAGTTCGTGAAAAATTTCGTAGGAGCATTTTATCTGTCATGTGTACAGCTGCCAGTGAAAAGAGACAAGGCTTATCAAATGGTTGGGGCTTTGTTTTCAGCTCTCTCTATATATTTTTCTCTGTGATCATTTCGAGATCCTCTGTCCTTTCTCGTTCGGACATGCAAGACCTCGGCCGAAAGATGCTTTAACGGTGAAGTTACGTTCGCCTGGTATGAGAATGCTTCAATCTGCTGTCTTCAAAATATTCCGGGGTCGAAAGAGCAGTTAACAGCTATTTTCTTCGAACAAAAGAAAGCAAAACAGATACCAAAATATACAACAGCACGCGGTAAGAATAAAAGCACTCATCAATCTTTCATTAGAGACCTTTCATCAACAATCACGCATATACTACCTTCAGTATCTTTTCTATTTTTCTCGTCAGTATGTTAAAAATTCTCTGAAAAAGATGAATCCGGTCAAGATTTCTCACCTACAAGATGGAATGCTAATGGTGGGTCCGTTTGCAGCGTCGTAGCGATAAAAATTGACATCAAATCATTCGAGTTTGATAGTTTCAGGGACGGGATCTTATCTTAAAATCGTGAATTTTCCTGGCTATTTCCTTGAATAAATGACGGTGAGTCCAAACTGCAACTAATATTCCTTGACTATATCTTTTAGCCCTAGAGTGTCACTTAATGAAATAATTGAACTTAAATAAAATTACCAAAGCCCTTGGAGTTCGAACACAAATGTATGTAAAAAAACCTTATACGCGGCTAAAGCTCTTTTATCACAAAGCTTTTCAAGCAAGAGAATGCCTATAAAACCAGTCGATTCGAATCTCCTATATAAATCAAATAACGTCCATATATACCAAACTTCCACTTTGGGTGAAAAAGAGTACTTTCGGCCAGCAACTTATGCAGTGGTAAGGCTGGCATGATGATATTTTAAAATACATGACCACAGTGAGTCTTACATCCAGATTGATTTATTCATCGGCACGCGTGTCATTTTGTAATTGTTATTCTTTTAATCAGAGCATGTTTTTATTGTTTTATCGAGTGTTTCTGCTCTCAACGAAGAAAAGTTTGTCAGGTGCAGATGGCAACAGAAACTGCATGGATGTTGCCAATAAGTTTCAACTGGCGCGTCCTTTTCGAGAGAAATCAGTGAAGAGCACTCTTATTCAGTTATGTGCCAATTATAAACATTTCCTTTCGCCCTTTGCCTTTTTTCTTACTTTTTGAGTAATGATTTATTTTTCAAATACTGTGAATTAACGGAAAGCATGTTCTAATAAGATGTTATAAGCAAACACTATGAAGGAAAATATTCTAACAAACTGACCGGCGGGCTTTTGTCGATTTAAGTCGTACAGCGAGTCCAACTGTCTCTTTGAATTGAATTTTCCTAAATAAGTTGCCGCGTGATTGCTTTTTACTGAGTAAAGGAATCGTCTTTTGATCATTTATTTATTTGGCAGTGTCCTTTTCAATTGCCCTAACGAACGTGTTCCAAAAATCGTTGTTTTAAGGAGTAAGCAGGGAAGTGTAAATTGCGCTTCGCAGCTGTATGCAATGTTCTTTTTTAATTGCTTTTCTTTAATCTGTCTCAAACAAACAGAAGCGAGTACTGTTGATTAATCTGTAAAATAAAGGCCAAAATTAACCTTTTCTGTTGTAAAAAAATCAGAAACAAAAACAGTAGCAAAATGTTCTAAAGATCATGGTATTTGTAAGCTTCACAATTAGTTCTTGAAAAAAAAAACGGGTTTCGTGTCGGTTTGCTAAGTTAAAGTAGCTTACAGTCAAGGGTAATGTTATTCAAATCAGTTAAACATGCAGATAACAGATCAGAGGTCCACAGAATTTTTGTTTTGATCTTCATTTTATCTCCTTTATGACTTGGTTATCGACTGTGGAATTCATTTCCAACTCCTATGAGACACTTAAAAGTCGGTTTTTACAAATTTTGAAGTATAAAACATATAAGACAAAGACCTTTGCTATTTTTGAATGCGAATTGTCCTTTGCTACATCCTAAACTGTTTTCCCCAAAATAAGGCAAAGTGATAACTAATTCTAAAGATCTTATTTAAAATAGGATTTTAAATAGGCTTGTATATCCCAGAGTTGTCAAGTTTATTGGCAGAACAAACTTAAATAAGACTTTTTTTTTCCCTTGAAAAAAAAAACAGAAAAGAAAACTTCCAGAGGCTTTTTGTTCTCCTTTTTAATAAGAAGTGAATTAAAAAAACCGTCGTTTTATTTATTTTTAGTTAAAACTTCCTTTTCGATGTTTTGATTTTTAGATTAAAGTCATACTAAATGACCGTAATTTTCTCGGGCTTGATATTCTTTCGAAAACCAAAATTTCTGCTCGGCATTGTAATTAATTAATAAGTTAAAAAGTAGTTTTTGATATTGCAAACAAGCGCATGGAGGACAAAACTACAGGAAGTTTATTCAAGTTTGAAATAATTAGAAAATGGACACGTTACAACAGGCGAAAAAAAAATGAGTAAATTTTTTCAACAGTAGATCTAAGTAAACAACAAAAACAATCTTTAAAAGATGACTTCTACTTTTGCCTTCGTAACTCGAGGGTCAGTTTGTTTTCAAGACATCATATTTTATAACACAATTTTCGGTCAGTCATTAATTTTATCTTGGAAAATCGCAAAGCACGTCTCTCAAGTACTGAGTTGAGCGTCATTTTTTCGTTTGCTAGTATAATATTTGAACAGTTGAGTGCAGGTGCAGATAATTAACAGTTCTTTCACTAACCTTACGAAATAGTTCATAATGGCGCTGAAGAACAAAGCAGAATGATATACATCATAAAAAGAACAAAGGAACAGAAAATCTGTCGATCATCAACACATGGTAACGGTAAAATTACAAAATGAATCAGCAGGCAGGCACACTGTTAAACTTAGCTTTTAAAACTGAATAATGTATTTACAATAAAAAGATACGTAAAGCCATAACAAGAGTTACAAGCTTCGAGGTCTCAAACATCTTGCACCCCAGTGTCAAAAGATATTCAGTATCAAAAAGATAAACATGCGTTTGCTATCGTAGAGAGTACTACAGTAATTTCGTGGAACATAACGTCAGTCAATTTGAGCGACTTTGGTTTTCATCGCGTTTATTTATGCAAGGGACCTGCTGAGATGCTAAATCATTGCTTTATTTTGAAGTCAGGAAAACGAATAAAATCACCAAAAGTGATAAAGCCGGCCAGAAAACGCAGACTAGATTAGTCAACCTTAAAAACTCGATTTCACCATAATTCAGTTATATGTCGCGAATTTTGTTGACAAAATATTAACGTTATCTTGGCTTCCATCTCTTTTCAGTGCAATTTGGGACATTTAGCAAACTTTCTGCTCAATCATAATTTGCGGGGGAACGACTCTCACTGTTTAGGGCCGGTAGATACCTACAAGATTACTGCCAACATTTCAGTTATATTAGTATGTGTTTCAATTTTATCCTTTGATTTAAACATTTTTTCTTTTGTTTCAATCTCACAATCATACCTTTCCATACCCAAAAACAAAGGAGAATAAATTTTAATCAATTATAAAATTGAACCACGACACATATATTACCTACAATCTCTCCCATAAAGAAGATAACGATTTTCACTGAGAGATAACCATGCACCAAAAAAGCTGGCACTGTGATATTCGACAATTAACTGAATACCATCATAGCATGGCAATGTTTTCAGCTAAATGGTGCTAGCCCTGATTTTTCGGAAAAATCCTTTAGCCGCACGGCTGTTTATAAACATCTAAAGATCCCGTTCTTTCAACTGATTAAATTGAACAAAAGGCTATTTTGTGGGCAACCGATAAAAACGAAAATCTAGGGCGAGAAAGTAGGAGTATTTACCCAGCGGTTACCGTGAGTAAAATGGTTTCCGACACGAAAAGAAGCTCCTGCTAGCAGGGAAGGAAAACTGAAGAGTCTTTCTGCATCCTCCTTCTTGCTTGTCATGTTTGTTTGCGACCTAATTGAAACAGTTATTACTGTTTTGACAGAATGATATCGAGCACGGTAATTTTTCACACCCTGTTAGAAAGTGCCCACTAGGCGCGAATTTCGCGTTGCTGCCGGTCGTTTAGATGAGATTCGATACAAAACCGGCTTTCGGAAGATATATTTAGGCTGTTTGGACAATTTCATTGAAACACGTCTCTGTGTTATAAAGGGAAAGGCTGAAACCTTACCGCCGGATCAAACGCCCTCATGATATCAAAAGCCCAGAAACAGCATACACTGT